CGAGATGTCGAACACGGCCCGCCCTCCATCCGTATACGTATTGGAGACTTTGCGGCGAACGTCCGCGGCACAATTCATCTTGGAAACGATTCGCGCTTCATCAGTGCAACCGTTGACGCTTTACAGTAGAATGTGCGAGGCTCTAGGGCGAGCGTCAAGCTTTGAAAGCCCCCCGCCCTCCATTTTGATAACTGTTAGAATTGTTACGCGCCGTAGGCGGTGAGGACGTCGCAGACGCAACGCTCGGCCCGTCATAGGCACATGAACTGTTGTGCGAAGTGAGTGAGTTCTGTTTACGTGAAGGAGGGGGATCGAGAATGAGGTGGGAGGTCAGAGGATGGCAAGAGGTATGAGAAGGACCAGGATCATGATAAGTGTAAACCCAGGGAGCGTCAACGATGTTGCAATGAACCCTCCCTTCAATTTTTGCTCTTACTATGCCCCGGCAAGAATTCATTCCCAACCATCCTGTGGTGTTGGGTCCTCGTTTTGAAGAGACGGTCCCCGCGTTCACTCCTCCTGCTCCTCCCGCTGCCTCCTCCCTCCTCCTCCGCCTCCTCCTCCTCTTCCTCCTCCTCCTCCTCCTCTCATCATCATCATCATCATCATCATCATCATCATCATCATCAGCATCAGCATCAGCATCAGCATCAGCATCAGCATCAGCATCACAATCAGCATCAGCATCAGCAATCAGCATCAGCATCATCGTCATCATCGTCCTCATGCTCATCATCACAATCATCTCCATCGTCATCATTACCATCATCGTCGTCATCATCATCGTCGTCATCGTCGTCGTCATCAGCATCATCATCGTCATCATCACCATCATCGCCATCATCATCGCCGTTATCGTCATCATCATCGACATCCATTTCGGCACACGCCTCACACGTGTTCGTGGCCCCATAGGGAGCTCTCTTGGAGGCCCCAGTGGCCGCGTCCGCATGCGCCCTCCTAGCCCACCGCATGCTCATTTCGACGCACCCCTCACACGTTTCGTGGCCCCATAGGAGCTCCACTGAAGGCTCCAATGGCGGTGTTCGCATACGTCCCCGCCACCCATTTCGGCACACCCCTCACACATTTCGTGCCCCCATCGGGGAGCTCCGCCGAAGGTCCCACGGTGTTCGCATGCGTCCCCGCCAAGGCTCCAATGGCGGTGTACGCATGCGTCCCCGCCACCCGCTTTTGGCATACCCGCTCACATGTTTCGTCGCCCCATAGGGAGCTCCACCGAAGGCCTCAGTGGCGGTGTTCGCATGCGTCCCCGCCACCCATTCCAGCACATCCCTCACACGTTTGGTGGCCCCATAGCATAGGAAGCTCCAACGAAGGCCCCAATGGCCGTGTTCGCATACGTCCCCGCCACGAGTTTCGACAGTCCCCTCACACGTTCCGTGGCCCAATAGGGAGCTCCACCGAATGGCTCCAGTGGCGGCGTGCGTCTGAGCCACCCATTCGGGCACACACTTCATACGTTTCGTGGCCCCATAGGGAGCTCCACCAGAAGCCCCAGAGGCGGTGTTCACATGCGTCCGTGCCACCCATGTTGCACACCCCTCATACGTTTCGTGACCTCATAGGGAGCCCCACCGAAGACGATACCCGCAACTGCGTTACTCACAACTGCATATGGTTGGGTCTTTCGCCAGGCGAATTTTTACTGCTGGAAAAGCTCCGTTGGATGACCACCATCTGACTGAATCATCGTGACCGTTGCGTCCTGGCACCCTAAATCGTGCGGGAACACCATGCACGGGACGTCAACCATAATATTTAGTCGGGCGTGTCCTTCTACAGGAGGAATATTCAAAAAATAATCGAGAAAAATGTCATGGGTCGATTTTGTTATTGTTTTTGAATATTTTGGAGTTTTTTCGACTATTTATGTTTTTCGCCCAAAATTCGCCTGTAGGGAGACTCGCCAAACCTAACCACAGTAATTCGTTAACCTATTGTACACTTTTAAACGAATGTGCGTGGCGCTCATGCGAGAGCCACATTTTCAAGAAACCGTCCGCAGTCTGTGAAATTTTTGAAACCCTTTAAGACGAATGTGCGTGGGGCTGATGCGAGAGCTCCATTTTGAAAAGGAGTCGCCCTCATCCGTAAAACTGTTGCACACTTCTGAACGAAGGTGCGCGGCGCCAAGGCGAGAACCGCATTTTGAAGAGGATTCGCCATCCATCCGTGAAGCTCTTGTGCACATTTTCAAGACCAGTGTGCGCGGCGCTGAGGCGAGAGCCACATGTTGAAACGGAGCCACCCTCCATGTATGACGTTCTTGCGAACTTCTATCGAACGTGTGTGGCGCCATGGCGACGGCCACATTGTGGAAAGGGAGCCGCCCTCCAGCCGTGAGGCTTTTGCGAGTCTTTGGGACGAGTGCGTGCGGCGCGAACGCGGGACCCACATCTTTCGGAGGTGGATAGACCTCCTACCCTGACGCGTCGATTCAGGAATTGGCCGTTTGCGGTTCGCGAGAGGGCGTCGC